CTCCAGTTTTTTTCTTCACTAGTACTATAGGTGATGCATACTCTGAACAACTTGGCCTAATGATTCCATCTTTTAAATAGTCGTCTAATAATTCTTGCAACTTTTCTTTTTCCATATAAGATAACCGCCTAGGTGTACAATTAAATACTTTGTCGTTTTCTAATCTTATGCTTAACTCATGTCTTAATTTTGGCTGATTTGGCCTTTTCGCTTTTACATAAGTATTTTCAAATAAATTTTCAAATTCACACTTTGTGCTGTAATCAATATCTTCACTTAAAATATATATATTTTCTCTTTTGTTAGAATCTTCCCAACTTATTGTTAAGATATCCTTCTCAAAATTCTCTTCTAACACTCCCATGATTTCGCTATTCACTGGCGCTTCATTAACATGATTATTAATTTTAACTGCACTGTTTCCTATATCTTCTATAATCACTTTTTCAATCCCGGTTTGATTATAGATAATTTCATCACTAACAACTTCTTCACTATCAGGTTCGAGCTTAAGCTCTCCATAACTAACTATCTCATCACTAACAGTTTCGATCCCAATCACTTCATTTCTAACTATTTCACCACTAATTATTTTATTTCTAACTATCTCATCACTACCAACTTTATCACCAAGCGTTTCCGGACTAACAATTTTCTCACTAACTAATTCATCACTACCAGTTTCATTACTGACTATTTCCTTATTAACGATTTTATCATTTAACAATATAGTTTCATTTTGCTCGTGTTTGATATCTTCATCGTCCACTTTTTTTTGTTTTTCTTTGTAGCTTGTAGCTATGATATCATTTTTACCATTATTCTGGTGATCAACTTTATGCCCGTTCACAATTTTTAATGTTCTTAAATCAATATTTAAACCAAAAGAATCCATAAAATCTCTACCAAGCACAGCGTCATACCTCATAGACTCATTTGCCACAATTATAACATTAAAATAAACATTTATTAACTTTTTCTTCATAAAACATAAAATTTTTCCAAAATTTTTCAATTTACTTTCATTTAAACCTACATACGAATTTGCATCTGGCATACGCTTTACTTTTAATGGCACAAACTTTTCCTTTAAAAATGAAATAGGGCTGCCAGAGTCTATAAGGCATTCTGCAATTATTGATTTGTTAAATGAGTTACTAAAATGAATTCTTAAGTATCTTACATATTTGTTTTCCATATCATACTTTTTATTTGGACATCCTGCTATTAAATGATCCTTTGAGCCGCACGCATAGCAAGATCCTGCCTCCCGTTTGGGCTTTAAACAATCTTTGGCCCAATGGCCCTTAACATTGCAATTGTAGCAACGTTGTTGTTTGTCCGCCTGTGCTTCCTGTGCAGTTTGTTTCACTACATGGTTTCGTACCCGTTTAATTGGCAACTTTATAGCTGCAAACGCACGTAAAATTTGAGCCGGATTGGTAAAGCAATGCATACTAGCTTGAGTGCGCAAGTTTTCGCAAGGTATGCCTCGAATAATACCCTCCATTAACTCCTCTACATCAATGTTGATGTCCTGTGCCAATATGCTTTTTTCGCTAAAATATGTGGCGAACACCTCATCTGGTTTCCAAACCCGATCCTCGAACTTCTGTCGTAGTTCCGACTTCGAAAATCCTCCCCCGAAGGCCAAAACCAATTGATTTAGCATCTCGTCAATCGGAGCAATGATGCGCATAGGGTCTGCATGCAACCACTTCAAAGCACCGCCTTTCAATTTGCTTATACAAAGCAAGTGCTGTTGCATATCATTTAGTCTGTAGATCTTGGCCACATTGAAGAATTGCATTACCCATTTACGCACCTCACTTTCTCCAGTAAATTCTAATAAAATTTCCTTGGCTAACATCATCGCTCCAGTTTGGATGCAATTATTTAAGTTGCCTCCGACAGCGTTGCCACTTTCGTCGATCCTTCCAGCTGCCCCAGCGTTGCCCGCTGCACCAGCGTGATCAGCTGCACCAGCGTTGCCATCCGTTCCAGTGTAATCAGCTGCACCAGCGTTGCCATCCGTCGACCGTGGTCTTTCTTCAGTGTGACCATCCTCTAGCTGCAATAAATCGCCGACTTCACTTTCTTGCTCTCCCCCGTCGCTCCCGCCGATGTGCGAGTTGCGGTTCACCGTTACTTGAAATTCTTCTAGGAATTTTCGAGACGCTTCAATTTCGAGACGCATCAATTTCAGCATCTCGGCGCCATTTGCTATTTCGTCACGCTGTTGTTGCATTATGTTTTGCAACTCATTTTGAGCCTCAATTGTCTGTTCCTTGTTACGTTGAACTTCAAGTTCCTTTGCAGCATCGTCTCGGATATCCACTGGTACCTTATTTAATCTCGCCATCAGCTCAGTTTTGGTACCCTCTGTTGGCAAATTTAGTAATGCCAACCAACTTTTCAATGTCGCTATTGACACGTCATTTATATTTATATTTTCCATTTTGTTGTGTTTTTTTTTTTTTTTCTGAGTCAATCCCACTTCTGATATTGTAATAGTATGATTTTCTTCGTTGATTTAACTTATGTTCGGGTTGCCTTTTTATTTTTAACAACACGTCTTCTTACTGCTAGTACTGTAGAGAGACTGCCTTCCACTTCTTCTCTGCAGCCGCTTTTCTTTATCGATATTTACTTATCGTACTGTTATAATTAACATAGATAGTGACACTATCATACCCTGGCTAGGGTTACCAATGATGCTCTTATCCTATTACAATATATTGATTCTTCATCGTTTGTCTGTATGCTTGGCTCTCAGCCTTATAGCTTTTATGCCATAAAAACAAATACCATACATTTTCATTTTCATAACATAACTAAATCAAACTTCCAGAAGCCGTGTTTTCTTATGCTAAAATATCAACAAAATATTTTTATAAAACATACATTTTTTAATCTGGCTTAAGAATTCCTTCGATAAATAAATTCTCTGTATATGCTTTGTATGGAAATAAGGGCATCTTATTTTCGACATTCGCCGGCCAACTTTTCTTGCCTTTAATTTCATGAACTTTTAAAAGGTATTTCAATCCCTAAAGCTTATATTATCCTGATTAGTTTCTGCTAATTTTGTCCCGAAACTTTGACCAGGATGGTCTCTCTGCAGCAGGCGACGGGCCAAATCGGATCACTATATTGCTTTTAGGATTTTCTATGCAGACTTGCGATCAACGAGATTTTACACAATGAGAAGAATCTTATTATATAGCTCCACAGAAAGAAACGGTCGAGAAACGAGTTTTTGCATGGCATAAGTTATGATTTTCTTCACCAGGCTCGACAACGGCAAGCTTTCATATTTTCCCCAAAAAAACGGGTATTTAAGCTTCGGCTAAAAAAATTTTCTGTTTAAGTAAATTTTCGATTTTTCAGTTAGGCACAAAATGCTTGAAGTGTGGCTGAAAACAAAGGCAATTGTTGTAGATCCCGCAAAGGAGGTGGGGGGTGGTAGAGGAGGGTCGGCATTTTACCCGCTGTCCTTGACCAAAGCCGGGGAAGGGTTCTTCGAGTCAACGGCAGAACAAGAGGGCAGACCAGATCGAGAACCAGCTATTGTGAAAAAATTGCAATGATATATATTTATGCCGATAAATTGGCACGACAATGACAATGACAATGACAATGAGAACGTAAACAACAGCAGCAACAACAATTCGTAAGAAATATTAAAAATCTGTGCACGCATTTTAAGCGCGCATTAAAATCAAAGTAAAATGACATCAATATAAATACTCGTAAATTTGCAATTTCGACTGAGTAGACTCCCCACTAACGGGGGATGGTTGTGGGTGGGGTGGGATGTCGCCTGCTCGAGGGGTGGCCGCTGTCATAAAACAAGAAGCCCCATCCCCCTCGCCCTCCCGCCTTCTCTCAGCGGAGACCTCGTTGCGCATATGTTTAGAGAAATTAGTTTTTCATAACGCACAAGTTGTTATTGCCTCGCTCACACACGCACACATGCACACCAGCACATGTCTTTTAACGGCATTTTTTATTGCAAATTCTATTCAAATACCCATACATTTTTATGGGTATAGTCATGAGGGTGGGGGTGGGGGAGGGGAGGTTATGACAACCGAGGCTCAAGTAGCGACATATACGCGCCTGCCCGACGCTTTAAAGTGCATAAGAGCGAACATTTTGCAGTCACCCACGCACCATCCACACACCCACGCATCACCCACTTACCGTCGCACCACCCACTCACCATCAGCAGTAACCTTCGAACCTTATGCGGCTGTTTCTTTTTTTTTTTTTTTTTGAACAAACACAATTTTAATATTCGTGCAATTTTTATGAGTGTTTAGAGGAATTTTATTGCTAAAGATTTCGCCTGCCTAGGCCCTGGCTCAGCTTCTTATACTTGTTAGTTGGGTGAGCTGGGACTTGGCTAGAGGTATGGATACGGGCAGAGGCAAGGACAGGATGGAGTGAGGTGGAAGTCCCAAGTGGCGTTTGGCGCGATAAGTGCACAAAATGCCAACCAGAATATCCTCTAGTATCATATTATTATATTTAATAATAATTTATTGACACATAACAATATATTATTAGCCTTTGCTAAAGGTGAGCCTACTCTATTTCGAAGACATATAATAATTACTAGAGCATATTTTGCGGCCTTCTGCGTGAGAAACTTAACGCTGCAAATTTGCGATTTATCGTTTTCACCCATATTCCTAATCTAATCGTTTATAACTCAACGACATATTTTACATAGACAGTTTAAAATTTAAAGTCCAAAAAATAAAGAACCAACATTGATGTGTTGAGAATCTTGAGACCCAAAAAGAATCTTTTGTTCATTTAACCTTTGGTGCGCATTTTTGTTCAAAGTGGGTGGGTTTTCACATCGATATTTAAGAAAAAAAAGTTTCACACAAACAAATTTCGCGATTTTTTCACACTAGCGAGTGGAATTCCACTATAAACAGTTTTATACATATATACAGATAAATATATTTTCATAATTACGTACTCACCTGTAGGATTATTTGATCGTCATCTATTTGAAGGCGGGAGACGAACCTTTATATAGTACACATATCACTGAAAGAACAGAAAGTTAAAGAAGGTTTAAAAACTTGGCAAGTAAGAGGCTTTAGTCGGAAGTTCCCGTCTCGAAATGTTCAACGCATAAAAAGAGACATCTCCCACTCTATAAAATATATATATTCTTGATCAGTATCAACAGCCGAGTCGACATAGCCATATCCATATCTGTCCATCTGTCTGTTTCTATGCGAACTAGTCTCATGAGTCATGAAACTTTACAGAAGTCCCTCTTTCTGTTATATGCTAAGCATATATCGGATACGGCTGGATTGGACGACTTTATCATAACAGACGTAGGAACGATTGGTCGAAATGTAGATCTTGTATGAAAAAATATTTTCTTTCTCCTCATATATATGCAAAGTCCTATCAACATCGGACTAATATATCAAATAGCTGGCAAAGCATTGGTAGAAAATAACGTTTTTGTATGGAATACTTTTTTGTTTCTCAAGGTATCTTAGCCATACTCGACTTCGATATTTTTCCTGTGCTTCTTAAAAACAGGCAAAGCATAATGAGGGTTGGTCTGCAAGGGAATTAAATCTTCGGCGTGCCGAAGATAGCCCTTTCTTAGCGCGAGGTGTGCGTTATCACATGGGGTATCTGCAGTAAAAATATGGTTGATCAGTAATCAATCAGTCAATCAATTAGTCAGTCAGTCAGCGAGTCAGTCAGGATAAACAGTTGTGTATAAAGAGCTTAACATTTTGCTTCATTATTTTTGTCCATTTTTTCCTTACGACACATCTTTTAAATCTTTCGTAACTCATTCAATTCGTTGCGAATTATCAATTTTATCAGAATCCCTGCCGCAACCCAATTTTTAACCCTGCTTCGTGCTAAACTGCACTGCGGAACTTTCAGAGGTCACGTTCACATGCGTGAATGTTTTTTGGTTAAGCCTGCTCCCTTTTATTTTATTATCTAAGTCAATCAGAGATAGATGCGAAAGTAATCCAAAGCAGTTATGAGCCATGATTGAAAAGGGAAAACAGCGCAGTATTAACAAACCAATGACAACAGAAACTCGAGGAATATCATTTAATATGGAATTGTAGTACAGCAAGATAATGTAACGGGAAAAATGCTCACAAGTCAGAAAAAATGATTAGTTTTTTAATCAATTACCTTTAAAGCAAGGAAATATGCACTGAATTCCACATGGCAAGCCACAAACAAAGTGTGTAAAGAGTTCGATTTGGAATGGGGAACTGAAAATTTCCCGAAAATGGTGAATTTTAATTCACATCAATAAAATGTTTTGAATGTGACATCAAGCTTAATGCCAAATCAAGATAGTCGTCGTAAATGTGATACGTTCGAAAAAATGTTTCCAAGCAATCAGTCTATGCCCAAAAAAAAGAGATCACACATGGAGGTACGTGATTTATTTTTAAACACTTCAAAAAAAGTATATTTTAAGACAATCGGTTTTCGATGTGAACTCAATCTAAATTGAAATCGGGTTTGTTTTTTGGACGTATTCAAATCTGATTTTCGGGAATAATTTAATCCCATTTACCCCAAAGAACGGAGCACCAGATTCCACGAAGCACGAATGACATATTTCCATAACTCTTGTAAATTACATAGATGAAAGGGAAAAAAAATGGAACTGGACAGGGGCTCGGCAACATTTCTAGAAATTACCGTCACCTGGGTCCTTCGGGAGGTGAGCTGAACTCTTGAACTCTTGAACTCTCGTCTGTTGAAAGGAAAAATGTTTGCTAGCTAGAGGGATTAGGGGTTAATTTGAGACCCGGTGGAGTATGATTGCCAAGTCTAGCTAATGGACAATGGAAGATGCTATGCCCCATGTTAGTCTAATCGATTCTCGCGCGTATAGGGAGAGCGAACTGTCCCTTTTATAATACGATCAAGCACAGATAACTCTCTGACTTACTAAAGGGAAGCTCTTTTCTCTTACTTAGCATTGTTGGCGTTAGCGAAAGGAGAATTTTTAAAGAGTTATTGACTCTGACTATCCATAGATCACGTTCAAAAAGTCAGCTTGGGAGCAAGTGCATATTTGTATATGCTTTCTGTGTAGTTAAGATTGGCGGATTTATCAAACTGTTATTCATTCATCTTGAAGCCATGTGCATTGTTAGTCTAAAGTATGGCTCCCAGCAGGCCGTCTGTAAATTATGTAAGTGTTGTGTGTTGGCCAAGAGGCCCCATTCGCTGATAATCGTAAAAGGCTGCAATGGACAACTGATGCCCTGGCGGAGGAGGATGGAGCGGTATTTTATTTATGAATTTTTTATGCAATTTCATTTGCGAAGCAGCGCAAAATAATAATAAGTCGAAAAGTCGCCGTTGATGCAATTGCCGATAGAGTGGCAGTTAAGCGGGGCACGGGGCACGGGGCACGGGTCAAAATCTGTCCCGGACTCCGTCTATTGTCTGAGCTGAGAGCCGAGAGCTGCGAGCAACGTGCTACGTGCTAGCAGTTGGCATGCATCGAATGTATGTGTAATGACGTTTTTTATGACCCTATAGGCAAACAAATATTTTATGACATGTTATTAAAATTTGGCAATGCCAGCGTCCCCAATATCTGGTATCGGCTTTAGCAACGGCATCGGCAACGTCAACGGCATCATCAGGTGAATGTGTTGGCCAAGAAGCCGGCGCCAGGCGCCAGGCGCCAGGCGGAGCGCGGACGACACATCCTTTCTTATTAGAAAGAAATTGCCGGCATGCGACATCTGCAAGCCGCTCATCGATGAGGCTCCGTTGATGCCACACAAACTGCGCCTCAATCAATGCTGATAAATCAGCTGTTTTCTAGCTGAATTTAGCTATTTCCGGCGTCTTATTTCATGCTTTCACTCATAGTCGGAGGTTATTTTAAATATATATATCGCTTATGAAAAGCGGGTAGCAGCAACTATGTTTATCGTCTATTGATAACGATATTTGAAATTTTTGTCATCACTCGCTAAGCTTTTGGCTACATTCTGCTGCAAGTCTAATAACAGAAACACGAAATGATGTGACTTAAAAGTAACGAATAAACCTTTCCAGCTACATCAAAGAAGACTGCGACGATGGAAATGGAAGCTGTGACACTCGCCAATAAATGTAAGAAATGTTGGCCTTGCCAAATCGATTTAGCCTTTTTTTTGTAATTTTTAGCACAAGACATGGCTATTTTTTTGGCAGCCCTGACCGCCGTATCGCACGTTGCATTTTTATGTTTGCAAAATTATGTTCTATAACATTTTTTATTATGAATAACGGTTATAAAATGGTCCGGGCAAAACAAAAGCTCCAGCAAAAGCGGCAGCAGAAGGAGCAACAGTCGCAAGTCAAATAACCCGGGACTGTTACACGGCGCATATGAGTACAAGAATGTTGATGAAGGGAGGAATGATGAGGGGATTGTGTAGGCCACATAAAAAGCCAACACACGAAATGCAAATTGTAAATTACAAATTTGCAATAAAAATTTTTAATAGAATGAAACATTTTGCCTTTACGAGTTTGTCTTTCGGGCAAATTTATCAGCTTTTATGATAACAGAAGGCGGGAGGGCGGGTGCCCGGATACGTGCGATGCCCGGCCCGGCCCTTTGCCGAGTTGCCCGCCATTTCCCATTTTCTACGCCGTCATCATTTTCTCGTATTGTTCTTGTTGTCGTAACAGTTTTGCATTAACATTACCGTAATTCTTTTTTGCATTATCATAAATACATTTTACGCATATTACCAAGCCCGGCCGCGGCCACGGCTAGATCGAGATTCAGACTCGGGTCGTGCTTTACGAACCATGTGAGTGCGTGTGTGGCCTCAAGTGGGCTCAGGCGCCGCGTTCGGTTTTAGTGCTAATATCACGTCCATTATGCATCGGGCATAGAAGGTTTATGCATAAACAACAAAGTGCCAAGTAATCAAACATAAAATACAAGAGGCCTCATTTCCTAAAGGTGGCTAAAGGTGGAGCTGGCTGGAGCAAAAGCACGACAAGACGTCATCCAACTTAACCCCATGCTGCGCATTTCACATTCAGTGAGAGGTTTCTTTCAAAAGCACAAAAGAAAGCCGGAAAAATGAAGACAAAATACCCTTACATGCATATAGAAAATATGCGAGCCAAGAACTTAATTCTGGTCAGATTATTTCCAGATAAGTATATGATATAAAAATCCAGAAGAAGACTTTAGGATATCGTTCCATACATACCCTAGCCCCACACTATGGCGATCGTTTTTAATAGTCCGATCTTTATGAATATGTTCAGCTTGTGAAGTGTTAAACGGGGTGGATTTTTTTAGATTTGTATGCACAAAAAAAACTGCGAGAGGAGAAAAACAAAATATACTTTCTAGGGTATACAATTTTGATAATATGCATGAGCAAGCCTATATACAATTTCGATTACATAGACAAACTTGATATGATCTATGCGTTGCAATACTCAAAATTGCACCTAATTTTTATAAAGGCATACTGGGGAATATATTGCAAGTGATGGGATTTAAACAAAAATAAAATAAATAAAATTTATTTCTAAGTTAATTTCGATTGGAAAGGAGAAAGCGTCAAACGAAATGGAATTTTCTCGATGCCAATCAAATAAAAAAATAAGAAAGTATTTCTTAGGCTCTCGAGAAAGTAGCCATACAATTGGCTAGGCGCAGCCTTCGAAGAGGCCAAAACCCAACCACATTTGTCCATCTATTCCATTCGCTGCCTGCATTTGCGTGTGTGTGTGTGTGTGTGTATGCACGGGCAATGCAAGTCTGTCGAATTAGTTTGCAGCAGCCCACATACACGAAAGCTAGAGTGTGCTCCCCCTCCCTCTCGGCACGAGCGGGTCGTGCACCAATCAACGCTGCCAATGCGGACTTAGAATCCCTTCAAATCGTTGCATCTACATTCGGTTGCCAGTTTCGCGCCGTGCAACGCATTCTCGTCAAAGCCAACACAGAGCGCAGCTCAGTGCTCGGGAACTCGTCGGCTAAGTTTTGCGCCTTTGCTTTTTAT